GAAAATCTCGTTTAATTTTTACTCTTCGCAAAAATAGATTTTTTGTGCATTTTTCTTTTTAATATACTGGGGCCGAATAAGTGGAATGGATTTTGAGGATTTTTATAGCCGATCCCAATTAGTTTGGGATTGAGGTGTAGTTGATTTACTGTATTAATTCGACTGACTTTTAAGGCAAAGTTGTTTTTTTAATGTCTTATTGTGTGGCTTTGTGCTTATTGAAACTGGTTTTGCAATTTTTTTGTAATTCGATTTGATTGGGAATTTGGATCATTTGGATGTTGTAAATGGCTCTAGTTATGAACTTTAATATGTGAGGATATGCATATACTTTGGTCAGTATAAAGCCACTGTTGCGAGTATCGTGGATCAACATTGTCGTGAATTTTGTGAACACGTATGGTCCGGAGGCGGATCCAAGATTTAAACTTGATTGGTTCAACCTTTATTGTGTTATGACCACTGAATCCATTGTACCTTTGAATTTAGTGGTTCAGAACTTAATATTTGTTGAATTTTAGTGATTTTTTATATTATCTGTGCTCTGGGTAAAAAGAAATTGGTTCAGCTGAACCCGTTGAGTCTATGTTGCAAGCCCCTACCGATGCTCTTTAGGGGAATACCACTTCTATCAGACCTGTTTTCAGCCGAATAACATGAGATTTCTTTTCTTTTCTTTTCTCTTTTTTTCTTCTTGTCTTTGGCTTCTTTATATTAGAGCTTAGGCTGCAAAAGAACTTGCATATTTAATGCTTTTGACTTCATGAGTTGTTTGTGCGTGGTTTATGGATACTTGAACTGTACAATCAGTGCTTCGGTGTCAATTAAGTATATCCTTCTTTTTTATTTCAGCGGCACTTGTATAGGCTACTTACCATTATATTGCTCACAATTTTTTTTTGTTTTTGTTTCATTATGAAAAATATGTTCCTCCCAAAAGATATGAGTTATTATATCCACGCACAAGAAAAAGATCATAATCAGATAATTGAGAGAGACAGAGAGAGCATAAATCAGATAAACAAACCGACTCCAGTTGAAAGAGTTGTGATGATTATTAGGCTGGTTGTCTTTTTCAAGATTGAGTGCATAACATTTAAAACAATTTTTTGTTTAATAACAAGATGAAGATCTACAGCATGTCTACAATGATTAGGATAGTATTATGAGGCTCAAAATTTGAGTTTGCATCTTTTTTCCTTTCTTCAGATGCTGGATCTGGTTAATGATTTTGAAGTACAAACCTTTTTGACTTCCTTAAAATTCTGCCATTGCATTTTACTTGGTTGCTGTTGTCCTGATAAAACAAAAAAGATCCTGATCAGAAACTTGGTTACTGTTGTTTTGTCATTTAACAGCATTTAGACCAAACCATTTCAGTGAAAACAGATTGGTTAATTAGCTTCATCCATGCCATGGAAATTCCAGTTGAGACCCCAGCAAAGAAACCAAAGAGGTTGACATCCGTTGTGTGGAACCATTTTGAAAGAGTTAGAAAGGCAGATATCTGTTATGCTGTTTGTGTACATTGTAAAAAGAAGCTTAGTGGATCGAGTAACAGTGGAACAACTCATCTGAGGAATCATTTGTTGCGGTGTCTAAAAAGATCCAACTATGATGTTTCCCAAATACTTGCAGCAAAGAGAAAGAGAAAAGAAACTACTGTTGCAGTTGTCACTTATGAAGAAGGGCAAAGGAAAGAAGAAACCATTAACCCTGTGACCTTTAAGTTTGATCAAGAAGTAAAGAAAGAGGAAGCTACCATGCCTATCAACCTTGGTAGTGTTAGATTTGATCAGGAGCGGAGCCGTCTGGATCTTGCCCGTATGATTATGTTACATGGTTATCCTTTAGCCATGGTTGACCATGTTGGATTCAAAATATTTGTCAAGAACTTACAGCCATTATTTGAGACTTTGACTAACAGTGCTGTTGAACTTGACTGTATGACAATTTATGCAAAAGAGAAACAGAAGGTGTATGAGGCGATCCATAACTTGCATGGAAGAATTACTCTCTCTGCTGATATCTGGACTTCATCTGAAAATGCACGGTATCTGTGTTTAACTGCTTTTTACATTGATGAAGACTGGAAACTGCAGAAGAAAATGCTGAATTTCATAACACTTGATCCTTCTCACACAGATGACATACTTTCAGAAGTTGTTATAAAAAGTTTGACAGACTGGGCCATTGATCGTAAGTTATTTTCTATGACTTTCGATCATTGCACGGGCTATGATGAGATGATTTTTAGAATCAAGGACTGGCTTTCTCAAAACAGGCCTCTGTTAAAGAATGGTGAATTGTTTGACGTGCGTTGTGCAGTGCAGCTACTGAAATCAATCATTTTTGATTTCATGGAAGCACTTCGAGATGTGATCCACAAGGTTCGAGAAAGCATAAGGCATGTTAAGAGTTCACAATTAGCCCTAGGAAAATTCAATGAGATTGCTCAGCAAGTTGCGATTAGTGGTGAAAGGCCTTTGATTCTTGACTGTGGACAGCAGTGGAGTTCAACATACTTGATGCTTGAAGCTGCCTTAGATTATAGAGGAGCCTTCTGTCTACTAGAAGAGCGCGACCCTTCCTACACTTTCGCTTTGTCTGAAACAGAGTGGGATCATGCTAGTGCTATTGCGGGCTATATAAAACTTTTTGTTGAAGTTACTAATGTTTTCACGGCAAATAAATGTTCAACTGCGAATCTATATTTCCCTGAAATATGTGACATTCACATCCAGTTGATTGATTGGTGTAAAAATCCTGATAATTTTCTTAGTGATATAGCGCTGAAGATGAAAGAAAAGTTTGATAAGTATTGGAGTAAGTGCAGTTCGACTTTGGCGATAGCAGCAATATTGGACCCCAGGTTCAAGATGAAGTTGGTGGAGTATTACTATCCTCAGATTTATGGTTCTGATGCCTCAAATCAGATAAAAGAAATATCTGATGCTATAAGGGAGCTTTCAAATGAGTATGCTATGGGCTCATCTTCGCTTGATCCAGATACAGCTGGTACTTCTGGCAGTTTAACCAATATTTCTAGTGGTACAAGGGACAGACTTAGAGGTTTTGACAAATTTCTCCATGAAACTTCACAAAACCACAACATAACGTCAGATCTTGAGAAATACTTGGAAGAGCCAGTCTTTCCACGCAATTATGATTTCAGCATATTGAATTGGTGGAAAGTTCACACACCAAGGTACCCCATATTATCAATGATGGCACGTGATATCTTGGGAGTTCCTGCATCCACTCTTGGGCCAGAGGTAGCATTCAATAACAGAGGCAAGGTGCTTGACCAAGATCGCAGTTCACTGAATCCAGCTGCTAGAGAAGCCTTGGTTTGTGGTCAGGACTGGTTGCGCACGGAAACTGAAGGTAGTTTCATCTGATTTACATTTACTTCTGCCTATCGTTAGGTGCTAATATTCTTATGGTTTATTTTTAAATTTTTAATGGATGGTTGTACTTCACTTACCAGAAACCAACTCACCTCACATCTATACTGCCGTGCCACTTTCAATGGAATCAAAGTAGGGCATCTATGGTATGTTTCCTTATCTTCACAAATTGTTTCCTATTCCAAGCCTTTCTTGTGTGTGTCGATCTTCTAATTTAGAGTTTATCCCTTTGCAAGGTTTGCTGATTGGAGGATCGTTCAATCAGGACACAAGTGTTTGATTTCTTTTGATGACTTTAAACTTAATATCCAATTTAGTGCATATTGAGTAGATCTTCTTAAATATGACTGTATTGCTTTAAGATCAACTTCTTTCGATTTTCTTGCCTTTTCTTCAATTGTAAATGTTGATTGTAGTCAAGATATGTTATTCCACCGTGGGGGTTTTCCCCTGCATAAACTGGAACTTTCACAAGTTATCTTAGGAGAAGAGTGTCGAGGGAAGGTCGTGTTCAGATGGGAAGAAATTGACCTTTGTCCCTTTTAATAAGTTTTAGGCAAGTAAGAAAATTAATTGTCATTTGTTATGAAGAGTCAAAGGGACATCAAAATTCCACGTAAAGATGGTTTCTTCGTGCTCCAATTCCAGGCATTAAAAATGAAGAATTAATTTGCTGGTTTCAATACAATTTAGCTGCATTTGTCTTCTTATTGGTTTGTTGGTCTTAGTACAAGTTTGCTGATGTTAATTCTAAGTTTGGCTTCAAGTACAGATTTTGTTGTAGCTTTGTCTCATTGTCTTAAAGGTTATCTGTTATGTTTTCAATCTAAAATCTCAACTATTCTATGCAGTACAAGAAAACGATCTAGTGTGGATAAAAAGCTTCTACTAAAAATTTAATAACCTTTGACATTGTTGCAGATAGATACCTAATATCAGTCAAACCGAATAAGAATAGAGATAATTGTGTTTCCTTTTTTGCTTTTAATTTTTATATTTTCAATGAAATACTTTTTATTAGGACCACGGACTGCCTCGGCCCAACCTCAATCAAGTTTCACGAGCCACATGCTTACTTGAGCCAGGCTAAAAAGCCTCATTCTTAAATGTGCTAAAAGAATCTTAGCACAGTCCATCCTAACCTAGCGTGCCAAACCCATATTGGCGACTCTATCCAGCACAATATACTAGAGTTTCACTAATAAAAGCTTTTGGGATTTTTTTTGTCTAAATTTTATTTTTGCATTAAGGAGTAGCTAAATGTTGGTTCGTTTTGAGATGATAGCTAACTTTTTATTAGCGGTATAAAAAGTGGCTATTTGCTTGCAATAGGTTAGGCTCTTGGGATGCGACTCTTCTCCGACCCTGCGTGAACACAGGATGCTTTGTGCACGTTACCATTTTATAAAAGGTGGCTATTTGCCCATTTTTTTCCTAGAGTCCTTTGAAATTATGGGTCCAAAACTTAATGGTTATAATACTTTGTAGGATTTTACATATATTCAACCTAGCACCTGAAGTTCTACTTCGTTATTTTGCCGCTAAAATTCGAGTAGAAAGCAATAAATCATTGCGAAAAGGAAAAAATGATTGAGCTAGAAAAAGTTCAAAATTCCATATATCAGATTCAACAACAGATACAGGGGAGCAGCCTATCCAAATCTTCCACATACAAAGCACAAATATTATGAATTCATACCAAAAAAAAAAAAGAAGGAATAACGACCGAGGAAACTCTAGTCACTAACAATAATCTAAAACAATAAGAGAATTCTGGGTACCAAAAATGAATAATGGCTAAAATAGCATACAAAATCCTTGAGATCAACAGATTTTTTATGCAGAGGTTTTCTTGTTTGGTTCAAACACATACTTGATCAGCGACTCTTTGATCGGTAGCAACTCAGGGAACTCTTTCTTCAACTTGGATGCATCCATCTCGTTGTTACTGCGAGCTGCAACAATTACCTTGGCCTGCTCTTCCAATGTGAAGTTGGCCCAAGTAAATTCTGGATTGATATATTTCTTGTACATTTCCAAGATTTCATTATGGCTCACAACACCGGGGTTCGTGAAATTCCATATGCCCTTGAGGTTACGCTTTGCCATCTCAATTGAGATCGGAAGAAGCTCATCTAGTATGGTCATACTGTTAGGAATATTGACCACCTTATTGTAGCGGCTAATCTTGGTAATGAAATTGCGAGGGTTGTTGAGATCTGAAGATATTGGCATGCGAACTCTGAGTGTGCAAACGTTGTCATATTCTTTCAAAAGCTCTTCAACCTTAGTAGAAGAAAAAAAAAAGAAAAAACATATTAATGTCTCAATCAGAAAATTGACACTGTATTTGCGTTTCAGAGTCGTAAGGAGTAAGCGCTTACCATGGCCTTGGTCTTTGAATAGAAAGAACCAGCGAAATTGGGTGTATCTTCCTCCTTGAACCCAATACCGGAACCCTCTGGGTGCTTAGCATCATACTCAAATATGCAACCAGTGGCGAAATTCATCATCAGGAGACCGTGCTCTCTGCAAATATCTGCCAAGTTAAGAGTACCGGCAACATTTGTACGAATCGTTTCTGGTTTATGACTCTCACACCAATCAACATTGGGTCTACCAGTGACACCAGCAGCATTGAATACATGTGTCGGCTTGACAGCATTAATGTCTGCCAAAAGCTTTGAACGATCCTCCAAACGTCCCTTGCCATACTCATAAGGAATCCCCTGTTTCTCACACAATTTCCCTAGCAAACCGCCAATCCACCCAGTCCTACCATAGATCAAAAACTTAAAAGGGGATTTCTGAGGCACGTTGCTGCTCTTTGGAGCTGGAGCTACCGTTTTGGTTTCATTGGACTTTGCTGAGAATTCAGAAGATCCTGAATCATATTTCTCGGCTCCATCCAAATGTCTTTCTATTCCACCGGGCATCATCAGCATTCTAGGATGAGGAAGCAATGCTCCAGAGACATCCCCCCACCAATCGGGGTTTTTGGTATACCATTCAATAGTCTTTTTCAGACCCTCTTCCCACAAGGTCCTCTCTGACCAACCCAACTCTTTCAACTTCTGATCATCCAGAAAGTACCTCTGGTCGTTAAATGGTCTGTTCTCAACAAACTCAATGCTTTTGTCTGGATCCATGTTAAAGAGTTTGCATATATCTTTGGCAACATCGATCACTCTTCTCTCTTTTGTAGTTCCAATGTTATAAACATGACCTACCTCCCCCTTGTGTAGAATGACTTCAAAAGCCTCAGCAACATCCTCACAGTAAAGATAACTACGAACGTTACAACCATCTCCATGAATAGGAAGAGTCTTCCCCCTCATGGCTAAAAGTATAAATTTCGGGATTAGTTTCTCGGGGAATTGGTTAGGACCATATACATTGTTCCCCCTAGTGGTTATAACAGGTAAACCGTATGATCTACCGTAAGCCATAACAAGCATTTCAGCCCCAGCTTTTGTGGCCGAATATGGGTTAGTGGGAAGGAGTTGTGAGGCTTCGTGGTTTCCGACAACAGCATCCTCATCAGTCTCACCATAAACCTCATCTGTACTGACATGAATAAACCTTCTGATCTGACCAGTAACTTTGCAGGCCTCTAATAGTACGTGGGTACCGTAGATGTTGTTCTTAGTGAATTCAAAGCTATTACCGAAAGAGTTATCAACATGGGTTTGAGCAGCAAAGTGCATTATAGTGTCAATGGACTCAGTGATGAGAAGGTAGTTAACAAGATCTGCACTGGCAATGTCCCCCTTAACAAACTTGAAATTAGGGGAAGATCGGGAAGGAATAAGGTTCTTCAAGTTTGAACAATAATCAAGTTTATCAAGCACAACGATCTTGTAGTCAGGGTAGCTCCGGACAAGCCTGTTGGCTACATGACATGCAATAAATCCGGCAGCTCCAGTAATGAGTATATTCTTAGGGGTGTATGTTGACATCTTATTGCAGCTTCTACAAATGACAAATTCCAAATCAATGTTAAGATTTTATCATAAACTCGGATCCAGTAGACCTATACTCAAAAGAAAAGAACAAAATTCAAGCCAACATTTGCATAGCTAACGGCACAAACCACTGCAAAAATGTCCGAGTCAACAACTACAAACCAACAAAAGCATTTCAGAGTTAACAACTCCTCAACATAAGAGAAGTTTTTTTCTTTGATAAGGTAAGATTTTATCGAAAAGGTACCAAGACGGTACAAATTACAACAGTCATCCTCAACATCAGATAAGTTATATATCTGTATTTACAAAATTAACCTGCATCCACTACCGTCATAAAATAGATTCCACCCTTCATTATCTCTACCTTTCGGTTTAAGTTGAGCATGGGATGAAAAGAAAGATATACACAACATAGAAAGGAAAAAAAGACATCTTGTTTAACTAATCAATCAATCAATCAACTATTCCTCAATTCACAACTAGCCAGGGTTGGTATATATTCTACTCTATTCGTGCTCATTTCATTCCAAAATTTGTCTTTTAAGTAAAATCAGGTTTCTCTAAATCTCAACCCTTGATCTCAATGAATTATAACAATAAAACAAGCACCAATTTGAAAATGGAACAAAAAATCCACCCCAGATCATTAGATCCGACATGATTAGTAAATTTTCACAACAATAATGAGCAATTCAAATGCTGATCTCTATTAGATCTGAATGAATTAAACAATGCCAAATTAATAATCGATCAAAAAGTATCAAATCATAAACAGATCCAATCCATATTCAAATGTAATTTTAGTTATACGGCCATTTTCACGGGAAATCAGTAAAATACAATTCAAAAATACAACAGGAGATCAATAAATTAAACACAGGAGATCATTTTTTTCTATTCAAATTGTAATTAATTATCGAAGATCATTTCTTCCACCGGTTCAAATCCCGATCACGAAAAAATTAAATTGGTAACAAATTTATAATATAGAAATTAAAGCATGCAAAAAATAATAGAGAAATTGGTGAACTTACTAGTTCAAATTCAGATCAGGATCCACCCCAAATGAGGGGAAAAACTACGTCGTTTGCTTCGGTTTTAGAAAGAGAGATTTGAGATTCAGACAAAGAAAGGCTGTAGTCAAGTAGCGTGTTTTTCTCTATTTATAGATTCACTGTAACAAAGAAAATTAAAAAAATTATTTCCTTTTCAGATTTCAGGCAAAGAATAAAACAGAGAGGGAGGGAGAGGGGGAGTCAAAATGATGAAACAGTGAACGGTAAATGGTGAAACGGTAAGGAAAATTACGTCACAACGGTAATTTTTCGGCTTCTCTTTGTTGCTGAGAAATAGGGAAAGATTGATGGATGGGTTTCATTCATTCCATATATTTACCAACTACCACTCAATGGGTCCCACTCATATAAAAAGAATGAAAATTGGAGTAAGGAAAAAGGCCAGCTCGGAGCACAAAACATTTCATATTCACGCATAGTTCGGGGACGTACTTCCCGAGTATGTGTTGATAGTCTATTCTAATGAAAGTATTAGTGGCTGCTTTCACAGCTCGAAACAGTGACTTATATGTCACAGTGACACAATCTTATTGTTACTCCAAGGTTGGGATTCAACAATTAGAGTGCATGTTCGATGAAAATATATTTTATACGATGCTTACATTAAATTAATAGATCTATCATATGTGTTTACACATAAATTTCTATTATTTAATCAGGGTTAAGTAATATAAATTCTCATCTTATTAAATTAATTGACCATAATAAATTAGCATGGTTTGGTGCAACTTTCGGAACAAAAAGCTGAGATAAATGTGTATCATAATTTCGTCTTATTCTTAATGGCGATGTTCAGACAAGATTTCACACCTAGAGAGTATGGGTGTGTTTGGTACATAGGAAAATGTTTTCTTGGAAAATAAGTATTAATCTTATTCATTTTTCGGTGTTTGGTATGCAAATTAAGGAAAATAACTTCTCAAGAATATTCACAAATAATTTAAATATAATGAACATGAAGCCATAAATTTTCGAACCAACAACCTTGTAGACACTGAAATTTTAACAGATCAAGATAAGTCCTAATTTCAAAATAACTCTTGAAAAATTATGAGTTTATTAGGGTTACTTGGTGGCTTCTTCACCCAAACCCTAATTTATGCCTATAAATAAGGCTACATGTATGCTTCAAAGATGATCTCGAAATTCCATAAAAAATCATGGAATATTCATAGAGAGATCAAAGACATTAAATATTGTCTCTCTCAAAGCCGCCGAAGTGATCAACGGATGTTCTTCCTTTTTATGGAGATCAAATACATCTGAGGAAGGTTAGCATCATCCTACGTTCGAGAAATACGCCGCTAAGGCCCTCGAATCACGTAAAATAAGTCGGAGGAAGAATCAAGGGATAAACAGAGTTGTAACCTACAATGTTTATCAATCAAATTCTTTTTTCTTTATAGTTGTTTGTGATTGAAGTTTTATTTTTCTCTGCATAAATTTTGTTGCAAACAAACCTTCCGAACCCACAAATTTCATAAACTTCCAAACCGCTAAATTTTCGAAACCTCAAACTTTTGAACCCGTAAACTTTATAATTTCTAAACCATTAAACTTCCAAACACATAAACTTCCGAACTCATAACATTGGAACTTGTAAAATTTCGAACCTTNTTTTTGAGAGAGGGATGGGGTGGGTGTGGGGTGGGTTGGTAAGGATGGAGAATAGGGTGGGAAATGTTGAAAATGAGTATTGAAAAATATTTTCTCTTCTCTTGATAAGGAAAACATTTGCCTCCAATTGGAGGAAAATGAGTTCATAAGGAAAATGATTTCCAAAATATTTAAGTCAATCAAACATGAAAAAATTGAAAAATATTTTTCGAAAAATATTTTGGTTCATACCAAACACACCCTATATTTGTTACTTTCCACCCGCATAAATATTAAAAATTAGTATCTATCGAAGCTAGATAAATGAAAAGAAATTGTCTAATTTTTTCCTCTTCTGTTGGGGTATCAAATCCTACTCCATTAACCAGTGAGTCACAACCTAAGAGGTCAGTTTGATTTAGAGACAAGTTATGCAATGATAATTAGTGCATAGATTAATAATGTAAATATTATAATGCAGGTAACAAAAAAAATTAGTGCAGGTATTAGTTTTTGTTGAATGGTTATTTGCTATATTACGAATTCGGCACGTGCCAAATATACTCTTGTACTATGAGAAAATATTTAAATATAAATATATCCTTCATTATACTTTGGGTCCAAATATACCTTTGTCGTAATACTATTGGTTCAAATATGCCCTTCTTCTGTTAAGTTTGTTTAAGATGGACATTCAATCCTACATGGTACTGATATTTGATGAGGTGGATGTCATAGGGGGCTGAGGTAGCAAGTCATATGTCATCCACTTCATCAAATATTAGTGCCACGTCAGATTGAATGTCCACTTTGGATAAACTTAACGGAAAATGGGTATATTTGAACCAATAATATAATGACTGGGATATGTTTGGACTCAAAGTATAACGAAAGATACATTTAAATCTTTTTTGATAGTACATGAATATATTTGGCCATTTTCCGTTACAAATTTATATATAATTATATATAACATAAAATTTTACTTTTAAACAACACAAAAGTTTGTTATACTTTTTTTAGGGTTACTTCTATTATCTTTGTATTTTTAATCCATGTATTACCAGTACTTGCATTTTTATTCCATATTATTATGCAGAAAATAAACACATAAATTCTCCCATAACTTATGCATATATTATTTTTGAGAACAATGAAAGGTTGCAGACAAACTATTATATAAATCAATGCTGAATTTATGCCGAAGAAAAATATTCACATCCGCTGCATTTGGAGTTAATTTTATCCATGATCATTGAATTTTTGTATTTGTTATCCAAAAGTCACTTTTCTTTTTTTGGTTACGTAAAAATCATTTAACTTTGTGTTCATTAAACAAAAGTCACTTTTCTTTCTTTTGTTATACAAAAATCATTTTACTTTGCTCTAGTTATCAGAAAAGTCATATTTTTACTTGAAAAGTCTATTATGCCCTTATTATTATATAAACCTTCATATTTATGTAATACCTTCTATATTATATACTATATAATATACTTTTACCTATGTATTTTATTTATAAATAAAATAACTTAATATTATTTTATTTATTATTTTTATAATATATTCGTATATTTAATATTTTCTAACTTTAATTTTCAAGATATATTAGTAGCATTATGAAACAACTTTTTTTTTCACCAATTCTTTTTTTTTTTGAATTTAATTGACCGATCAAAGTTGGTTGGTAGTACCAACTATGGTCGGTAGGACCTTCCGACCATCAAAATACCGGCAACACGTTAATGGTCGCGTTTTGGACGGTTATTGGTCATTACCGACCAACTTTGGTCGATTCTTTTTAACAATTTTTCCCGAATTTCAGTAGCATAAAATAACCAATTATTTAGGTAAATCCCCTAAAAAATATCTCCAGCTAAATTCACATGTAGAGTTACCTAGGGATTTTTCTTCAGATTAACATATGATTTTTTTCATTATTTTCTTTGTTTGTTTACCTGCGAATTTTCTCACGGAAATGTACTTGTCGATTTTTTTCTCTACTAATATATATTTGTTATGACCCAAAAGTTCATCACTTGTTTTAGAAATGAATTCTGTGTTCTGAAACCTTAAAAACCTCTTTCCGTCTCACCTCGATTTGCATGCACAGTCCGGGTGCGTAGCCGGAAAGCCATTATATGAAAATCTATGAAAAATGATGAATTTTGACTTTAAAATGAATTAATTTGACTTCGGTCAATATTTTGGGTAAACGAACCCGGACCCATGATTTGACGGTCCCAGAGGTCCGTCGAAAAATATGGGACTTGGGCGTATGTCCGGAATCGAATTCCGAGGTCTCAAGCCCGAGAAATGAATTTTGAAAGAAATTATTTTACTGAATTAATTATGAGTTTTTTGAAAGAGAAATGTGTTTGAAACCATTGGTATCGGGCCCGTATTTTGGTTCCGAAACCCGGTACAGGTCTTATACATGATTTGAGTCGAGCCTGTGACAATTGGTAAGAAACGGATTTGAAATGATGTGAATCGGACCTTATTTGAGAAATTTGGCAAGTTTGAAGTTCTTAAGAAATTTCATGATTTTGATGCTAAATTCATAGTTGTTGATTTTATTTTTGCGATTTAAACTCACGAACAAGTCCGTATGATGTTTTTAGGTTGGTGTGCATGGTTGGTTTGGAGCTCCGAGGGCTCGAGTTAGTTTTGGATAGGCCACAGAGTGAAATTTTGACTTAGGATGTTGCAGATTTTGAACTGATGTATTGCAGGCCTGCAGACTTCGCATTTGCGAAGCCTGGCTCGCAAATGCGAACTAGCCCAGGCCAGCACTATCTCGCAAATGCGAGGTTCCCATCGCAAATGCGATTCCCCCCAGCTACTGCCTTAGTCGCAAATGCGAAATGCGATTTCGCATTTGCGAGAGGTCTATCGCAAATGCGAAGAAGACCGGAAAATCTACTTGGTCGCAAATGCAATATTTTGTTCGCAAATGCGAACATAGCAGAGGTCGGGGTTCGCAATTCTCATATCTGCAACCTGCAATTTTTATACTTAGCCGAAAATCTCCCATTTTTCACACTCTTTCAAAACCAAAACACTCTTGGGCGATTTTTCAAAGACAACTCTTCTTCCAAATCGATTGTAAGTCATTTTTAACTCGTTTTCTTCAATCATTAACATCTTTTCACATGATTTCAACTCATAATCAATGATTTTCATGGGGAAAATTGGGTGTTTTGGGTAGAACATAAGTTTTTCAAAAATTGGGGATTTGGACCTCGATTTGAGGTCATATTTCAAAACAAATTATATATTTGGGTTCGTGGGGGAATGCGTAATCGGATTTTGGTTCGAACCTCGGATTTTGATCATGTGGGCCCGGAGGCGATTTTTGACTTTTGGGTAAAACTTTAGAAAACTCATTTTCATGTATTAGAATTGATTCATTTAGCATTTATTGATGTAATTAAGTAACTTGTGGCTAGATACGAGTGAATTGGTGGTGGAATCACGAGGTAAAGTGATAGTAGAGGCTTGAATTGTGTTCGTGACATCGAGGTAAGTGTTTGTTCTAACCTTAGCTTGAGGGATTAGGAGTCGTGTCTTAATTGCTACGTGTTAATTATCGAGTACGACGTAAAGGCATGGTGACGAGTATCTATACGTTGGTGTCAAGCATGTCCGTGAGTCTTGTA